GACGGTGACTGGAGCTTGGCCGTCCCCTCACTGGCTCCACTAGTCCCGAGCTCAGCTTTTCTCTGGCCTGTTACTGACAGACACAATCTCTTCAGCAAATGTTCCAAGGCAAAATATCCCTCCGGTGAGTGTCAAAAGGATAATATATGTTGTTGCTTTTGGAACTGTGGAACCATAAAGAGAGCAACATGGGTCAAAATTATCATTTGGTATGATTTAGCGGTGTGGGGGGAAGAGGAGAGGTGCTGCAGAAGGTAAACCAATTCTGGGGAAGGGGAAGGACGGCGAGGCAGAGGGCCAGAGAGGGGCGTCTGTTTGGATTTATTTTTACCAGGAGAAACTTTAAACCTCGGCGTTCTGTGGGCAACAGGGGCCTTGTAAAACGGCAGGGCCTTGTAAACATCGTCTGGCCAGGAGGAAGTGCTTGGGATGTCCCCGCAGAGGAGCCTCAGGTGCTGAGCCAAGCAGGACGGAGCCCCGAGGGCAGCCCGAGGAGCGGCCAGTGCCCGCAGGTGCAGCCACCCAGCTGGCCCTTGCTGAGCGGCCTGCTCAGAGTTAAGCCTGTGGCTCCACTTCAGCCCCCAACAGGCTCCCGCTTGGCCGAGGGCTGCTGCCTCACTTTCCCACTAGAAGGGACAGCTTGTGCAGGGAGGGAGGGGTCGGGCGCATCCAGCACAGGGGCAGGGTGCGCCTCGCCTCTCCCCCTCCTCCCTCCCCGCAGTCACCACAGGGAGAAGAGGACTGAGCACCGTCGCCCGCGCAGGCCGCACGCCCGGCCTGTGCGCAGCGTCCCGGGCACAGGGCCCGGGCGGTGGCGAGATGGAGCGCCACGCTCCCCACCTGAGGGGGCAGCTGACGCCAGCCGTGGGCCAGCCGCCACCGGAGCAGCGCGTTCTGCCCCACCCCACGAAGCCAGTGCTTGCAGCAGCAGCAGGAAGGCGCCCTGCGCAGGCCGCCTGCACGGAGATCGCGCCGCGCGGGCTCCCCACTCCGCACCAGACCTCGCAGTGGGGCCCCAGCAGAGCTCCTGCAGCAACCCGAACCCAGGCAGGACTGCGCGTGCAGCTCCCACAGCTCCGACTCGGGCAGGACCAGGCCCCGGCGCTTGAGAGCGTCCACGAAACCTCCTTGAGGTCGCACTCGGCAGAGTAAGTGTGCTCGTAGCCCCCAGGGCACGCCGGCGCGTGGCGCCAGAGAAGCCCCGCACGAGCCTTTCGGGAGGGAGGGCAGCAGGAACCAAGCAGGCCACGGCCACGGCCACGGCCCCAGCCCCTGCCAAGTGGCCGGCTCCCCCTCTCCCCCCACGCAGCACTGCAGGTTCAACTGAGAGTCAGTCGCCTCAGGGGCGCGTGTGTTGTGACGAGAGCGCGAACAGCAGCTTTCTGAAGGGAACGGCCATATATAAAACTACAAGTGATTCAGACCAAAACCAATATGCTTGTAATGAAGCGTCTGGAGCACAGATTCCCTTTTAAGGAGGTGGTTAAGGATCCAAAACAAATGGAAACACAGGAAGGGGAAACAGAGGTTAGCAGAAGCAGGAGCTCCAAGGGCTGGAAAAGAGATTTCCTGCAGAAACCCCTGGCCAGCCTCAAGCCCCCGAATATACCTGCTTCCACAGGAAGAGTCGAACTGTCATTCTCGCTTCGGAAGGATCAGGCGGCCGTTACCTGTTTCTGCAGAACACCGAGTGCACCCAGGAGCGTGCTTCCTCGTCATCTGTGTGTTCACGGGTGAACCTCTCTCCCCTTTTAAAAATGAAAGCTTTCACCAGAGTCCGGGCAAAATTTGAACCCAGCGTTCCAAAGTCCAGCATGGACGTGGCTCCTGCGCCAGCTATCTCTACTTTCACACCAAAGACCTCCCAGGGAAGGTTGAAAAGAGGAGCAGGGACCGAGCAAGGGCTTTGAGCACTTCGGGTCAGGTGGACAAGCACACGATTTGGCCACAGCGCTGCCGCCACGGCTCTGGGGTGAAACAGGCCGGCCAGCAGGGAAGGGGACACTGGTGGAGCAGCCGCTTCAGGCCAGGCCTACCCCTGCTCAGCTCCTGCGTGGCGCACACACTCTGCGGTGCGAAGCCGGGCCCCGCTGCCTCCTGCCATCTTTCCAGGGCCCCACAGAAGCGAAGCAGGATCAGCAGCGACACGCTCGAGAGGGCCTGTGCCTAGAAAAGCAGAGAGCCAGTCGCGAGCCGACTCACGAGGGGTTTGCCGGGAAGAAGGCCCAAGCCAGGCCACGGCCAGACAGCCTGCACACAGCTGGCTCCACATCACGCTCAGACACTCTCCCTCGCCGCTGCACCCGTGTCCAGAGCACGCTGCCTCTCGGGGACACCCGCCGGACACCGCAAGAGCGTGGGCAAGGCACCCCCCCCAGCACTTCACAACTCGCTCACGAGTGTGGCCCGCTACGGACGGCAGGAAATCTCCCAGCGGCTTTCCATCCAGCCAGGCACAAGGCTGCCTATGCGATGGCTGTGGGTGCTTTGCACTGCCCCCGCCCATGTCCCATCACGCCAAGGACTACGAAATCTTGAAAAGAACCGTTGGCTAGGTTTATCTTGCCAGGGGCAGAGGAGACGGTCGCGATGCTACTGGAGCCCCGGCCTCCAGTGCTGGGCACCTGATCTGCTCCACTCTGAAAGCTAAGACCTGAGGAGGCACGCGAGGTGACACCAGGCACCTCTCAGGAAGAGCTCAGGGCAAGCCAAGTGGTGCAAATACCACATTTTAAATACCACAGGGGGGCGAGCTGCTTGGAGACCGGCTTCTTCCACATCACTTGCCCCTGCGGCACCGCTGTGTGGGTAGGCAGCCCCCTGCAGGCCTGCTCCTGGCTCACAGCTCCTCCCTGGCACGACGAAGCGCACCAGAACAGAAGCTGGGAAGGGGGCCATCTGGAACGCTCCCATGGCAAGCTGCAGCAAGCGGCCCAGCCGAACACGGCTGGGGCCAGCAATGAGCCAGGAGGCGAGGATCCCGAGAAGGCCACAGGCCCAGATGACTCAGGGAGGCGAGGAGCGCTGCGGTCATCACGCCCGTGCCCTATGGACAAGGAGTAGCTACTTCTGGCCGGAGGGGAGCAGTTCCTCTCCTCGGATGGGGCCAGCCATAAAACAGACAGGGTACACCCTGCAGACGACTGACCCATCGCCTGGGAAAAGCGGGATCTGCAAACGCCCACAGTGATGAGCCGTCCTCCACAGCAGCAGTGCGCCGCTTCCGGACCCAGTGCACATACTCACGCCAGGCGGCACGGATCCTTTAACGTGTGGCCAGGAGGAGCCAATGAACTGGAGGAGGGCGAGTCAGGCGGGCCCCATCCACATGTGGCGAAGGCACAGCTGCCGCCCCTCAGCTAAGTGGTGCTGGCCCACCGGCTGGTCCCACGAAAGGGCCGGGCTGGCAGACGGGGCCGCCCACTGATCCAGCACTGGGCCCTGCAGGCCAGCGGGCCGCTGGGGCTCAAGACGGCTCCTGCCAGGTTTAGCTCATCTGCCGGCTGAGACCACAGCTAACAGAAACCGTCTGATCACCGCCCACGTAACTTCCCCGCATGAACTGCTGCACCGTGCTGTGCGCCAGGCCGCTTTCCAGCTCGGCCCATGAGCTACGGCGGGTCCAGGACACGGCCCCAAGGGACTCGACCAGAAGCAGCCATTTTGCCTCAGCCCTGCCGCTGCACCGGCTCTGGGTGCGCTCCCAGGCCTGCCTGAGGGCCGTGGAGACCGGCTTAGTCCAAGACGGGGTTGCCGCACGTGTGCCTGCTTCAGCCACCCGATGGGCTGGAGTCTGTCTCCACCAACTGAGGTCAGGCGGGTAACCGCCTGGGAAGGGGCCTCTGCGGGCGCCACCTCTGTGGAGCAGTGGCCTGCCAAGGGAGGCCTGGCACCCGGCGCCCAGGAAGGAGGGGCCAGCGCCCCCCTGCGGTCGTTTTGGCAGCAGGCAGAAGCACCTGCGTCACTCTGCTCGAAAGGGCTAGCCAGCCAGGCACTGCAGCTGGTTTTCCCACCGATCGCTCTCGGGCTGTGCTCTAGCTGCAGGCTTCTGTGAACGCTTTCTCAAGCTACCGCCTCACTCAGAGCGGCCTTCCTCCCAGAGGAGCGGGCGCCCAGCCCTCCCACAGCCTCGTCACAGCGAGCCAGTCGTGCAGTGTGAGCCAGAGGCCGGCACATGCCACAGGCCTCCCTCCACTGACGCGCTCAGCCGGGCCAGGGCAGGAGCATGCACGGCCAGCTCAGCCGGCTGGTTTTGCCAGACCGGGGCGGGTGGGCAGGTGCAGGGAAGCCGAACTTTGCGGTTAAGTGGGGCTTGTTCAATAAAGCCCATGAATCCCAAGCCTCTGGCAAAATAAGCAGCAGCAGCAGCAGCAGCAAAAGGAGAGGCTTTTTGAAATAAAAACAGCCCTTGGGCACCTTGACCTTCAAACGGAAGGCAAAATGCCCCCTCCCCTGCTTCTCTGCTGCCTGAGGTGTGGGGGGTGGGCTGGAATCAAGAGCCAGTCCGAACCGTCCAAGTACCGTCCAGACTCGGCAAAAGTCACGTACTCTGTCTTCCCAAATGCACCTCCCTGCCGGGCGCCTCGCCCATCGCGAGGGAGGCCCAGCGAACGCTTTGGTGGCCTGCTCCATCCCAGGCAAGGACACACCAGCCCCGCCACCTGCCTGCTGCAAGGCGAGGTCAGCACCGTCCCGCCAAGCTTCTGGTCTGCACGTTTTCAACCTGAGAATGGGCACGGCAGGGCACACCTTCTGCCCCAGTGTCCGATCTGCGTTGTCCACCCTTCCGGGCGAGGAATCAAAGGTGGTGCAGAAATCTGACCAGCTTGCGCAGAGAAATCAAGAGCAAAAGCAGTAGCCCTGCTCCCGGTGGAGAGTTTGCCAAGGAGCAATTTCAGCGGCTGCAGCACCGAGGCGGCCACCGGCCGCCTACCAGCAGAGGGTGCCAGAACACCGCGCACAGAGCCCCCCCGGCCCCCCGCTTGCGCCCGCGCACGTACTGCTTCATCGCGATCAGCTTGGAGTCCATGCTCTCCTGCTTGCCCTTCATCACCTGGACATCGGTCAGCAGCTTGGTCACGCTGTCCTGGCGAACCTTGATCTCTTCGCTCTTGATGCCGGACACCTGGAGGCAGCGGGAAGGTCATCCCTTGCTGTGATACACGGCCGCCCGGCCAGGATGCAGCGGGCTCGGCCCCATGCGCAAGGGCATGCTGCTGCCGCCGCCGCCGGGGCCCCTCCAGGCCCTCCGGCGTGGCTCCCGAGGCGGCTGGGGCATGGGCGGCGCCCTGGGCTCTCGGCGCAGCTCCCCAGCAGCCCTGCACACTCGGGGCCGCCCAGGCACATTCCGAACGCAGGCGCCCCACGCGCATCGCTCCCCTGTGATTCCGCCTCGGCTCCCGCAGGCCGACGCAACACGGCCTCGGAGGCTGTGGCCGGGCTCGTTAAACCCCCATGCAGTAAGGGGCAGCCCCTCACCCTCCTCCTGCCGTGCAATGGCAAGAGGTACGTGGCCCGCCTCTGCACAAGCAAAGCTGCCTGGCAGCCACTCTGGCTGGGCCACGTGGACCGCTGCCTGAAGGGACACCGAAGAATGAAGCGCTGGGAAGGCGCCGTCCAGCACCCGGGCTGACGCTGGCCGCGGGAGCCACGCCACCTCCCTCCCCGGGCCCGCCCTGCGAGCGGCCTCGAACGGAGGCCCGGAAGTGCTCGGGCAGACTTACGTTCGTGACCTTCCTCTTGATATTCTCCAGGAGATGCTCCTGGCCGCGCAGGAAGTACGGGTGCTGGAATTCCGTGTCATCCTTCTCGGGCTTCACCAGGCCGCCTTGCTCAATGTGTATCACCTTCCGGAAGCCGTCTGGAAGGCAAGGCGGCAGCGCACGTTGGCAGCAGGGCACGGGGCTCTCCAGCCACTCCTGCACGGCCTGAGCGCCGGCCTTTCGGCCTCCCTCCACGTCCAGGAGCAGAAATCAGCACCTGCCAAGCCTGCGCACCGTGCCCTTCCACGACACGCCTTTCCAAGCCACACAAAGTGGCAGGTGGCACCTTTCGGCCGCTCGTGCTCCCAGTTCCCAGAACGTGAAGCAGAGCCACAAACGCTGCGGCGGGCCAGGGATCCCCCAGCCGGAGGTCTGCCTCCTGCAGCCGAGCGGCCGATTGTGACTGCAGCTCATCTGCGGCATCGGGCCAGTCATACAGCCACACAGCTGGAAGAGGCCTAGAAGGCCACCGGGCCCAAGCCCCCCTGCCCTCCCCCAGATTCTGGCCAGGCCTGACCCCGCTGAGCTCCCAAGCTGAGGCAGGCTCGGCCCCTCAGGCTACACGGGAGCCCTGGGTCTCTGCCCTCTGCCGCTCCAGGGAAGCCATGCGTCGCCAAACGTGGCCTCTTCATCTTGGCATGTGCAGGGACCGTTCCGGGTCCACTCACTCTCCATGAATTGCCTCCCCCTTTGAAGAGCGCCTCTTGGGTGGCACAAGACCCTCCCTGGCGGACTTCTTACAATGCACTTTGCTCTGCTCTCACCAGGCAAAGTGCTCAGTCTTTTAAAAAAGCCCATTACAAGCTGTCCTGCAAAAGGAAGCAAGTGCCACAATACATTAAGCAGTGGGACTATTCATTAACTCGAGCAGCAGCTGGCAACCATGGCGACAGCGCATGGCACACAAACGCCTCAAAAATGCCAAGAGCGTTTGAGATTGCCCTCAATATGCAGAAATGTCCATCCAGTGAGGAGGATGAGCGGCAACACTGCTGCCAACAATTAGCACAGGGCAAGGGAGCTGCCAACAGGGCTTGCCGGAAGCACTTCTCTTCTGTCTTTCTCTCGCTCACTAAACCCCAACGTGGCTTAAGCAACAGGCGGCGGTTGAAAAGACGCCTCGCGAAGGCACCGTGCCGAGAGGGCGGCTGCACGATGCTCGATCCGTTTCGGGGTGGGAATCTGCTGGCTTCCCTCGGCGCTGCTCCCTGGATTCTGGCCTGCCTTCTAGGACCAGGCCGAGCATTGGAGGAGATCCACGGTTGCCAGGGGGACAGACTTCCCCAGGTTTCGCCCAAACCTTGACTTCAACAGGTTTTACAAGTACTTGTGTAATAATAATAATTTTTACACTGCCTACAGCTGAAGCTCTCTGGGTGGTTTACAACAAGGTATGCCAAAAAAAAAAAAACAAAACAAAAAACAAAAAACACCCAAATGCAAACATTAACAGTAATTAAAAATTAATTTAGAATAGCGTAAAGAACATTGGCAGCAATAAAGGCCAATGAGGTCTTTCAGGGCTGCTGCAAGCAGGGCTGTCCAACCCTGGTCCCAAAAAGATGGCAAATTTGGGGCCAGGCGGGCCGCAGCAGGGAGGGTGTTCCAGAGACTGCAGAACAGGCACCCCCCCCAGCTGCCACCCTCTGAGCCTCTCGAGGGGTTGGCACCCAGAGGCAAGCCCAGAGACTGAGCGCAGCGTCTGGGCAGCCTGAGGTCGGAGAGATGCTCTATCAGGGCTGCGGCCCAAGCCGCAGTCCTTCGGGGATGCATCCCCAGACTGTGAACAGCAACAAAACGCAGACCGCCTTTTGCTAGGCCAAACTTCCCAAGCGTGGTGCCCTCCAGACGCGATTGCAACGCCTGTCTCCCCCAGCCCTGGCCGGGAACGCTGGGAGGGAAGAGCACACCAAGGCTGCACGAGGCTGGGCCACAGGCACCCCCGCGGCACCTGCCTCCATTTCACCATGGGGAGCCCTGCAGTGGGGAATCCGAGAAAGTGCCTGGGGGCACGCTGGCCGTGGAGGAGGTCTGGCCAGCTTGGGCAGGCGGGCGCGGGGGAAGTGGCAGGCTGGAGGCGAGGAGCGGGAAGAGCCGCAAATGCAAAGGGGAAGGGCAGGTGAGGCCAGGGCCAGAGAGCCCCTCGCTCCGTCTTCCCGTGCTCACTGAACAGCCAATCTGCAGGAAGACGAGGAGCCGGAAGGAGAATCTTGTGCCCTCGCAGTTCCCAAATTTTTATTTAAATGTATTTTCACAGGGCGGCTGGCAGGCAAAGGCTTTGTGGGCAAAAGGGCAGCTTGAGAAGCCCCAACAGAAAAGAAGGGTGCCTTGTACCCCAACTCCCAGCATCCCCGACCATCAGCCATGCTGGCAGGGGCTCCAGGGAGCTGACATGCGAGATCTGCCTTCCGCCCGCTCCTGCGGAAAAGCACCGTGCTCGAAGCTCTGAGCATCCCCGCCCAGCACCGTGCCCGGGCTGAGCCAAGCCACCCGCACTGCGGCCCCGTGAAGGCAGGAGCGGGTTGGCGCGACCGAGCGTCCCGCAAGGGCTTGGACCCGCTGGCCTCCTGCCCCCCCCCGACTCCACTCTCCTGGGATTCTGGGGGTGCACAGGCTGCTGGGGCAAACGCCGGCCCTGGCCGGGGATGCTTACTTACACATGTTCAGCTGCCGTACAAAGCTGGCCATGTTGTTGTGTTTGAAGTATTTGGGGAGCACTTCCTTGGCAAACTGGCCTTGGTCAAAAACATGGAAGCTGTTTCCACTCTGCAACGACAAGGGAATAGGAGGTGAGACAGATCCCGATGCATCCCCTGCTGCCTGGACGTCGCTGGGTGGCCGACAGGAGGCAGCTCCCCACGCAGGAGACTCCGGCCGCCACCTTCGGGCACAAAAGGCCACGACCACACAACTGTGCCTTCGGCCGCAGGGGCCGGGTGAGCGGGACGCGCGCAACACACACCTACATGGCACGTCGGTCAGACGTCACCAGCCAGCCTCCCCGTGGCGTGAGGTGCAGGGGCCACGAGAAACCCAGGGAAGCAAGCAAGGGGCTCGGCCGAGCCACCTGTCTGGGGCCTCAGGTGCCTGTGCATGACCACCTGGCACAACTGCTCCGATCCCACACTTGGCCCATCAGCAAACACAGGCGTCCAGAAGCCCAAGCTCTTGAGGGGAGTTTGTATTGTTTACAATTACGTTCAGGCTGCCCGTTGGCGTAAAAGCCTCCCAGGCGGCGTGTGAAAAAAGCCGCTCGGTTCAGGCTGGCACAGCAGCACACACAGACGTGTGGGGGGAGCAGCCGCTGCACCCATCCCAAGGGAGGAAGTCACCGACTGCCCCTGTGGAAAGGCAGGTGGCGGGGCTGGAGGGGGAGGGTGGCAGACAGCCTTGGCCAACGGCTGGAAGGTACCATGGCCCCCTCACGGCTCTGTGCCGCCTCGCGAGCTGGACCACCTTCTCCCCAGCTCAGCCAGAGCTCCTCCCCAAAGCCAGGACCGAGCACATGGCGGGGGAAGGAGTGCAGAGCCGTCTCTGAACGAGACTGGGATCACGCGGTCGAAACATCCTGAACTCCCTGACTGGTCTCTGTGGGCGCACACCACAAGATGGCTGCCCTGGGACTTCAGCGGCGGAAACGTGCCCCCTGCCCCTCAGTCGCACAGCAGATGAAGGGAGGCCCCGCCGAGCTCCCCCCACCAAGGTCTGACAGTTCTCAGAAAGGCCTGCGGTGAAGTCTTCCCTGTAACTAGGGCCCACCGCCATGGAGAAGGCAGACGCAGCCGTACCGGGGTGGATGAAAATCAATGAGTTTTTAAAATAAAAATATCAGGTTTTTAAATTCAAAATGGATTTTTTAAATAAAAATGCTTTTTGAGGAAAAAACATCTAAAGATAGCTCTCTGTATAAGATACATTATAGTCCAGAGGTTATCAATCATGCAATGAGGATTGGTTTGTAATTATGCAGCATGAGGCTGTATATCCACGCAAACTTTAAAGGTTTTGGTAAACGAATTCCATTAAACCCCTTGCAATGCCATGCCATGCCAGAGCTTCTGGGAAGATTATCGGGCAGTTTTGCTCTCCAGAAGGTATTGTCACAGATGCTTGTTTTACACAGATGCTTCTCAGAACTGTGCACTGGCGCCTGCCGAGATCACATGCATGAATGCGCGGAGTTGAGAGCAAGGCCGGCATCCCATTGTTCCTTAGCATAGCTGTGCACACAGAATCAACCCCTCATCTATTAAGTGCGAAGTTTCAAAACATTCGATCAGCAGAAGATTGCTGGGAGCGGAACAGATCTGCACAAGAAGCTAAGCGTGAGGAGGGGGGCAAGCAGCAGGACTGAAAGCGAACCCTTTTGAGCAGAATAATCCACGTATTTGGATCTTTTTGTGCATAGCCTGAAGTCTATCAGATTTTTCTCTCCCTAGGTGCAAAAACCTGTAAAAGAGGTAAAACCCACAAAAGACACCTGCTTTCGGAATATTTTAGTGACGATTTCCTCTACTTATGGGGAAGGCAGGCATGTGTGCAAAACCACGCCTGAAATCCAGTCTGACTGACTAGTGGCTCAGATCAAATCCTCCGAGGCACACACATCGACCACGGACACTCGGGCCTCGTTGTGCAAGGTGGGCCTCCCTGCGGAAAGGCAGGGCCCTCGGGCTCCGCTTGCCCCGCTGCCCGTGAGTGCTCAACGGGGGGGGGGGGGGGAGGAATGCCCACAAGGGCAGTTCCCAGGGCGCCGCAGCCAGCCAGGTGTCCGGCGACTTCACGTTCTCCTGCATGGCTTTCCCCAAACCACAGTTTCAGAGGCTCTTTCAGTGAAGGCAGGCCTCCAGGGCGTAGGTGCGAAGGACCGAGGCTGAAGGGACCCCACCGTCTCTTCAGGGACCCTGGTGGGTGTTCGTTCCACGTGCTTATCTAACCCAAACAGCTGCCGACTGCTGATGGCAGCCTCAGGCCATACAGCAGCGGTGGCGAACCTACGGCACATGTGCCACAGCCGGCACGCAGAGCCCTCTCCGTCGGCACGCGAGCCAAGTTGCCCCAGCATCGCCCCAGCAGCCGAGCATCGGGTAACAGCACACAAAGGGGCCCTGCGCATGCTCGGAAAGGAGTAGCGGCGCCAGGCGATGACGTCATGAGCTGCAACTCGTCTGAGCTTTCGCATGGCCGCTTGGACTGGCCGTGAGGTGTTTCTTCTAAACTAAAACTTCAGTATTCAGGTTTGATTGCAGGGTTGGCACTTTGCGATAAATAAGTGGGTTTTGGGTTGCAGTCTGGGCACTCGGTCTCTAAACAGTTCGCCATCACTGCCATACAGCAACCAGCTTGGCACCAGCCCGTCCTAACGCCAACCTCCCTGAGCCCCAAGCTTCGCAGCTGCCTGGTAGGAACAATAGTTCAGCCATTTGGTATGAAAAACTCACAACTCTTTAACCGAGCGGGATGTCATTACTTTTCTGGCTCACATAACAGGAATTTTATTGTCAAAATATAACAGTGACTACAGGAGAGAGAAAATATTTTCAATCTGGCAGAGTGATATAAGAGAAGTGAAAGACTTTTTACAAGTAGGTTTTCTTTCATAGCGGAGAAAGCTCTGCTGTTGTGCCGTCATCCTGTTAAGGCGATTCCATCTGGTGGGAGCACAAACACAGCTGACACTGATACTGGGTAGGCACCAAACCAGACAGGCTGCGGACAAATCACGCCTGCGGCAATATTAAGCGCTCTGCTCCAGAGAAGGGCAGGGCCTGACGGGCCACCCGTGAGCAGAGCCCCCTGCCCTGCTTACGCCGAACCCCACCAGCCAAAGACGCCACAGCCTGCCTTGCGAGCGGCTGCTGGCAAAGCCACACCTGGCCAGTTGCTGCCAACCATGAGGTCACGCAGCCTGGCGCCTCCGCCAGCCTTTCTGCAGCCGCAAAGCTGCCAAGCAAGGGCTTGCCACACACGAGGCTGAAGGGATCCGGTGGCCGCTGGCTCCAGTGGCCCCGATGGATGCCACTGTGGCATGAAGGGCCCAGCGCCTCTCGGTGCGGTGCAACACAGCAATATGCCCCGGGCTTCAGAATGCACAGCTGCTGCAAAAGCCGAGGAGAACTGAGCCTTAGGGCTCACGTTCCCTCCAAAGGGGCAAGACGCCAAGGCCAGACTCAGCCGGGGATGCAGGCAGGTGAGGGCGCAGTGCACGGTCACCCTAAAGTGCGGAACTGAGGGCAAGTGGCGCCCGTTCAGGCCCTTCAAGCCGGGAGCTGTGTGGGCTCCCCTCGAGAGCAGCTCTGGGTGCGATCCGACAGAACCTTCCTGCTGGCAGAGCGACTGCTGCCAGCTCCACCGGGAGACAGCCGCTCCCCTTGCTTGCACGCCCCAACATCCGTGCCAGCGGGAGCCCTGCCAGGAGGGGGAGAACAGCTGCTTTCCCACAACCTGCTGGCCAGCTCTGCACAGCATCCACACGAGGCCCGCACAGAGAAGCACCGCCGTGCAGCCCCACAGGGGCCATGTGCCTTCCTGCAGCATCCTCGGTGCGGCACGCCCCACATGAAGCCAGGAACCCGGCTGGTGCGGGAGGAGGAGCTGCTCCTCCTGCACAGCTTGGGAGGGACCGCACCGCAAATGGTGGCTGTGCTCACGCAACACCACAAACAGCCCTGCGTGGTCGCGCACTTCTCACTCTCTTTGCCATGGCCTACCCAACAGGTGGCTGCATCACCACGGTTTCCACACTATCGCTCTCCACCCTCGCTGCTCATCGGCCGTCATGCTGGTGGGAGACTCTGTCCCGAGGAGCCCGCTGCTCCTTGCCTGCATCGCCCACCTCATCCTCCTCGGCCTGCACTGGTCACAGGCAGAGAAGAGCAGCAGGGGCCAGATGGCTGGAGCAGCTCCTGCAGCGGCCAGTGTTCCCGAGGACTCTGCGGTGGGTGTGCACCAGGGCCGTGGAAACCGCAGTCCTGGCTTTGGACAGCACGGCAAAGCACTGTGGACTGGGGAAGCCATAGAGCAAATGGTGGTTCTTGCAGCAGCTCCTAAAGAACCAGCTCATCAGGGTGAAATACCAGCACGCCGGGGCTCCTCATGTTGTCTGGACCTAGCCACTGGGCACACTTCTGGTCCGCACCCCTAAAAAAGGATACCGCGGAGTTGGAAAAGCTGCAGAAAAGGGCAACCAAGATGACCCAGAGGCTGAAGCAAGAACCCATGAGAAAAGGGGAGGGCACCTGAGTTTGCTCAGCTTAGCAAAACGTGAGTAAAGGAAGAAGCAACAAAACATTACAAATCCCGCAGAAGAGTGGAGAGGGAGAAGCCAGTGCTGGCATTGGGCTCCCCCTGTGAAGCTGACTGGAGGGAGAATCAGCGCAGAGAAAGTGAAGCACGTCTTCCTACGGTGCATCGTTAAACTGGGAAATTAACTGACACCGGATATGGGAATATCCACCAAACTGGACGACTGGCCAAAGGGACCGAACAAATGATCAGAGATTAAGGCAACCAGCGGGTACTAGGCAGAAAAGGCCGTACTGCACCTCTGGCATCAGTGGCCGTGTGCCTCCTGCTGAAGGCACCAGCGCACCAAACAGCGGAAGGCACCAGTGCGCGCTTGCCCCTCTCATGGGCTTCCCACAGGCAGCTGCTCAGCCCGTGCGGGGACGGAACGCCGGACGGGACCTGGGCAAGACTTGCCAAGCACAGCCTCCGATTTTCAGGCACACACAGCAATCGCCGCTGCGGTGTCTCCACCCACACTAGTCATTCACTAGTGGCCGACTCACCGAGAAGGGCGGTGCTCCGTCTCCCTGGAAACAGGCGCATCCACCTCCCCGCTGGGCTGGCGCAAGAGCCTTGCAGGTGCACGTTCTGCCTTGGCTGGAAAGCTGTCCTTGAGGTGAGTCTGTGGCAGCGGCAGACACAGGACCGCATCTCTGTGCTCCCCGCCGCCTTTCCAACGGACTCATCTGGCACTCGTCTCAGCATCCTTTGCTGCTCATCGTTGCCACGGTTAGCTGTTTCGGTGGCCTGCCTGTTCTTCAACTCTCTTGCTTTTTGCTTTTAGCAGCTTTGGTTTGTTTGCAAGAGATTTGCTTTAAGATTAAAAGCGGTCGACCAGACTCCCAATGCACAGCTGAGCCAGACTGAAATCAGCCACCCCATTTTACAATACGTTCCTAAATCCTGCCCTTGAAACCCGGCCTGTGTGCCGGTCTCGGGGGGAAGATGGGCGCTTTGGGGCTCTGTGCTCAGCCAGGAAAACTCTGACGAAAGGCACAGGCACGCTTCACTGCAGACCATCAAGCTGCTGACTCAGACCCCACCGGGAAAGAACTGCTGCCAAAAAGGCCACTGCCATTCATGCCTTGCTCACAAGTGCTGCCCTGGAAGTCAAGCAGTACAACAACACGACAACAGGCAAAGCTGAAAAAGGAACCATGTGACTCTGCTGCAGAAAGAGAACACAGACAAGTTCTGTGGCGTGATAAACAGCAGAGCCCTGGGGCCTGAAGCCCTTCGACCAGCTTGAGCCAGTGCATTTCCGATGCTTAGCAGGCCCCTCCAGCGGGCACACCACCCGCCCTCCTCCCGCCTCCGAAGCTGCAGAGCCGGGTGAGACGGCTCCACAGAGGCCTGCCAGTGCTCCAGCCCCAACGCTGGGGGAAAGCGGTCCTGGCCAAGGCATCCGAACAGGTCTGAGTGCGCAGAGTAATCCCAGTGTGCACATGCATACCCGGAGCTAGAAAGCAGGTCAGGGAGGGGGCTGGATGCTGCTGCCCGAGAGCCTAGCACCGCTCAGGTGGGCTTGCTTTCCCAAGGTCCACGGATGACAGGAGAGCACGCATCCCGTGGAATGACGGATTCCACACTGCTGTCAGTTCTGTTCACTGAGCAGCTCAGCAGAATCTGGCTCAAGCCAACGTTTGCCAGACTCTTCAACTGCTCCCCTCCTCCAGTCCACCGGGGGGAAAATTCTGTGTGGTCCCCGATTCATGAAGTCCACCTGGTCACCTGAAAGATGCAGGCAAATTCACAGGACATGCCGATCCACATGCAAGAGTGTGTGTTGTCTCTGAAATGGCGCACAGAGTGCTTGACAGAATTGGGCTCACCATGGAATGTTCTCCTTTCCTTTTCCTTGGCCTAGTTCCTCTTCTAGTCAGTATTCCAGTATCTGAACACTGTTGTGATCAAAACTCTAGATGCAGAGCCAGAAGCGTGGCTTCCAGATCGAGGGAGGCGCTACTGCCATTCCGCACGCCTCTGGAGCGCTGTGCTCCGTTCTGGCTCCACACTCCAGGAAGGATGGGGCCAGGCTGCAGGGAAGCCGTACGGGGCGAGGCTGGGGGAGCTGGGTCTTTCCAGCCTGGAGAAGAGGTGTCACACAGAGGTGAGCGGACCTGCTCTCCCCTGCGGAGGAGGGCAGGATGTGTTCCGCTGGAGCCAAGCTCAGGGAACCAAGGTCCGACTTGGATGCCAGGAAGCACTTCTGGACAGTCAGGAGCCCAAGGGTGTGCAATGGGCTTCCACAGGAGGTGGCTGACGCCCCATTGGAGAGGGTGTTCAAGGCTAGGCGGGACATGCACATGGTAGGCGTGGCATGAGCAGAGCTGGCTGGAGCCGGGGGTCAGACTAGATGGCCTGGGAGGTCCCTTCTGAGTCGCTCCGTTTCTATCCAATGTTTGTTTCTGGAGTCCCCATGCTGCTGCCAGTGACGGCCACTTCACTCACGCCCAAGTGGCATTTTGGAGTGACCGCACTGGCTCATTACCCTTTTTTGCTCTCTGCTGTCAAAGTGCAGTACAGAACATCAATGGACACTGACCAAGCAAGGCTGCAGAGAGGTTCCTCTGCACACACTAGAAAGCTCTCAACTGACAAGCAAAGAGACAAAGGAATTTTCCCTGCCCAGAAGGGGATGGTGAGTGGAACAGTGTGCTTTCCTAGATTTTGCACAGTCCCCTGACAGTTCTCAATGCCTCTCTGCTTTTGCAGATCTACATCTCACCCCCATTTCACAAGCATTTGCTTTTGACAGCCACCAGAAGAAAGGCTTTCTTCTTCTTCTTTTTGGAAGCCTATCTAGCAAAATTTGAACATGCGAGAAAGGGGCACATACAGCTGGGGAATCTACACAAAGCACAACTCCACACAGATGCCTGGTGCTACACTACAAGGAAAACAGTTACAATAGTGAATGCAGAGGTTAAAATGCAGGATGTAGCCCAGAAAAAATATTGCATTCATTAAATATATTATTCCCACATCTAGTATTTCAATGCATTACCATCAATTCTCTATAAATATACTAGTCTGATATTTTCTGCTTGAACTCTTACATGGTTATGCTAAATTTCACTATTTCCTCCATACAAGTTACTTCACTTGCAGCAGCATAATCAAGTATTAATTCTATGTTTATATTTCAACTGTGTTAAATAATATACTAGATAATTTTAATTTAAGGAAAGGCCCACATCCACACAGATGCTGTCCCGCTTCCACCTGGCATCTTATGATACAGTAAGATTAACAAATAAAAATGCATTATTAGCGGTACCTAAAGAATCGCTTTAAATTAGCATCGAGTAGTTCAGGGCCTGGATATCTGAAGGAGTGCCTCCCTCTCTTGGTACCTGCCCAAGCCTAAAGATCCTCCTCTGAAGGTTTTCTCCTAGAGACCTCTCTAAAGGAGGCAAGAGGAGCAGGTGCGCAGGCAAGGGCCTTCTCTGTAGCAGCGCCCTAGCTCTGGAAGCACAGAGAGGTGCGCTTGGCACCAACGCTTTCTTCACAAAGCCTTTCTATTTACCTGATATTTTAAAGTGTATGGTGTTTTAAGACAGTAATTTTAATGTTTCATCTTTAATTGTGTTGCTTTTGTTGTACGCTGTCTTGAGACCTGTGTAGTATATATGAGATACAAGTGTTTTAAATAAAACAAATAAGTAGTATTAGCATTGTTTGAAATCCAGTGCAATACCTGACTATTTACCGTATTTTTCGCTCTATAAGATGCACCTGACCATAAGACGCACCTAGTTTTTAGAGGAGGAAAACAAGAAAAAAAAATATTCTGAATCAAATGGTTTACTAAACTATTTAATAAACTATAACAGAATACAGTAATACCGTATTTCAACCTTGTAAAGTGAACAGCAGTCAACAGTGGCATTAAGAACCATCATCACTGTCATTAACAAAAGAGAGACTTTAAAGTTCGAGTACTCTTCTAGTTTTTGTTGAACCCATAGAACTCATCATCACTAGAGTCAGAATTTGTGAAGCTCTGTTGCTCACAATCACTGACATCACTTTCTTAGTCAGTAGTGGAATTATTGAAGGGATCCACAATCTACACCAGTTATACAAGAGCTGCTGCAGACAATTCAGTAACAAATTTAAAAAAGCCAGTAATGTCCACACTGCCCTACTAGTAAATAATAGAAAAAACTTTTGACAAAAAATGAGATATTGTATGGTAAATCAAACACACAGTGGACTAAATAGCCTTTGAAGAATAAATTTCATACACGAAGGTAATGCTGTTCAAATATCCACTGATCCTAAAAAAAATGTGTCTGATCAGCTAACAGATAACTGATCCATGGAAAGCTTCCTGATAATCACAGGCACATTCCCCATCACTTCCCCATGGGCTTCATTAAAAGACGGGTTGCCATTTGAAAACGCACACCGACCTGTGATTAACAGCTCTCACCTGTGCTGGGGGGGAGGGGCGGAGCAGGGCACGCCGAGCGCGTGCCGGCCAGGTGGTGCCACGTGGTGCAGGCAGGCCAGCAGCGTCCCGGGCATTGGGCACACACACATTCGCTCTATAAGACGCACAGACATTTCCCCTTACTTTTGAGGGGGGGAAAAGGGCGCCTTATAGAGCGAAAAATACGGTATATCCCACCTTCCCCCCCCCACTTTCAAGAAGCTGTATTCCTCGCCACCCTATCAGGTAGGTTGGGGATAGAGTCTGTGCCTGACCTTAAGTCACCCAGTGAGCGCCATGGCTAAGTGGGGACCGGAGTCCCAGTTCCATGCTCTCACCCACGATACCACACGGGCTCTTCAGATACAAAGGGTTCTTTGTATGAAAGACAAAGAATAAAATCACACACAAGCTTACCTGGGAATAAGCTCTATTAAACTCAGTGGCAACATGTATAGGATTGCGCTGTGACACCCCATTTTTCTCTCCTATGTATAAAGCATTTATATTCAGGCAACCCAAGGCTGGCTTTTTCCTCATTAAAAATAGTACTATAGTATAAATATTACTTGTGCAAAAAGGAGGAGTTCTTCCGTCCACGCAGCATCACTATGTTCAAAAGTTTCAATCCTTATAATTAGGCCACCATGCAATATTATTTAGTATACTGCAAGCAAGCTGATGTTCATTGTTAGAGAAAAATACTTATATGTCAAGAGCCCTTGCATAACAGAGACAAAGAACAAAATGCTTTAACTCCCTGTCCTTAAAGATGCTCACCCGAAGCCGAGCTTTTGAACAGGCTGTTTTAAAAAAAAAATGAACATCACAGTCTCATGCATGTTCACTAAACACAGTGGCATTTACCTTGAGCAAACGTGGGTGACTGCACTGCAAGTCAACAAGTAGCTAAAAGAATTGGCCCTCTCCACTCGAGGCGAACAGTGTCCTGCTCAGACATGTGCCTGCATCGCATAGAGTCCTGCCTTGTTCTCCCTGCCCCTTTTCACTGGGTAGGATCCAGCCGCACACCAAGGCTAGCGCTCATCGCGTTGCACTAGAGGAAGCTAGTGTTTGCGAAGGCAATGGGAAAAGGGGTGATTTGCCACCATTATCTTGGTGTACAAGCCCCGATTTCCACTAGTGCAATGTCCTCAGTTAGCAAAGGGAGAGTTGGAAGTAGAATGTGCACCAGCCTCTCACGCGGTTGACCCAAACAAGGCTCTTGGGAAACACTACTTACCAAATAAATTCCTAATTTGTCTCCCAGATAAGAAAGAATGTCAACACGTGGAAGATTCTTAATGAAAAGCTTTCACTAAGATTCGTGCAGCTGCATGAAACACACAGGATGGTGCCAAACACCCCCAGCTCCTGGAAGCAAAGCTGAACCATGTGGAAACAGATACCACATCTTGCTAGCAGACACCCAAACACACAGGCAGCGAACACGGAACCTGCCAGAGTGCAGGAAGGGCAAAGTCATGCAGATGGGAATAAAAAGGGGCAGGTGAAGGCAATGCCATGGAAGGAGAAAGTGGAGGTCAAGAGCAAAGGCAGATATTTGAAATGAAGGGCTGTGGGGCAGAAAGGAGCCAGTGAGTGCAGGATGCTGAGCAGCAGCAGGACTAAAAGAAAGATGAGTCCGGTTCTCCAACTCGAATGACACAAGAGGAAGGGCCCATTTTCTAGCAGGTGATGTCCAGCCTGAGCGAGCAGCC